CAAGGGGTCGGGTGTACTCAAGTGGTCAGGTGTACTCAAAGGGGCCAGATGTGCTCAAGGGGTTAGAGTACTCAAGTGGGTCATCGTTTGTCCGTCATATTAAAAAGGTCAATAAACGCCTCCGTGTGGGGGACAGGAGCTGGTAATGTGAGACGTGTTTAGTCAGGAGGGAAGGGGGGTGAGAGAGGGACCATTTTTATTATTATTATTTTTTTTTTTGTATTATTAATTGTATATTATTATTATTATTATTATTATTATTATTATTATTATTATTATTATTATTATTATTATTATTATTGATCAAGGGGAGAGGAGTTAGGTATACTGTATATCGTTAAGATGGTAGCAGTGAAGCGGTTCATATAACTCGATTCCTTGTCTAACGTTTCGAGCTGAAGCGAATACCATGTTGACACATTATTTTGAGAGACCTTATGGATTAATCTGGTGTGTCTACGTCAGGGTTTGTCCGGTGACGTCCTGAAACAAACACACACACACACACACACACACACACACACACACACACACACACCTCTATATACCAGATACCAGGTATCAATGATTGTCTTTTTATCGATGAAAAAAATACGTGGTTGCCTTTGTGTTGTTTACCTATACCGTCGCCTCAGAGCCCTTGAATACATAATTATCGAAAAAGAAAGGCCACATTTTAATTGGTTATATATTACTAAGTAGGTATTCTTTTTTTTTTATGCCCCTGAATCTTTTACGTAGGTTAATGAAAGCTTTTACAGTTATCCTTCGTGCATTGTCGTAATCCTCTCAGTTATCTTAGTATTTGCCAATCACTTGATATGATTTATGGTGATTAATCGTGTTATCTTTTTTTCTACATCCTACGTCCTCCTATTCCCTGATGATTAGCTAAGCTATCTTATCTTAGTCCTTCTTGTTACTTTTTTATTAATTTTGCTGACCACTTTCCAATCGCCTCTCCAGCTGTACCGCTGATTAGCTGATTTGTCAATCCCACCGTAACTGAGCCAGTCATAATTCTTGTCTTTCTTCCCACTTCCTGTGATGAGGCTCTAATCTCCTCTTATCACGGTTTGGATTGGACGCAACTCTTCTCTTCCTGGCCCTCCAGTCCTACCCTTCAGTGTCTTCCCTCCCTCTTTCTTACCAGTACCCTTCTTTCCCTCCAGTGACTTTCCTCCCTTCCTTCCCCCCAGTGCCCTCCCGCTATTTCTTCCCTTCAGTGACCTAATTTCCTCCTTCCCTTCCATTCCATGCAATATCCTTTCTTTCAGTGTCCTCTTTTCCTTCCTTCTTTCCGACCAATAAATACTGTTCCAAAACCCTGACTCCCCTTCCACAATACACACCCTCAACCTTTCCAGTCCCCTCCTATCACTCTTTACCCATCACCTCTCACCCTCCCTCGCGCGCGCGCGCACACACACACACACACACACACACACACACACACACACACACACACACACACACACACACACACACACAGATAGATAGATAGATAGATAGATATTTTATTTACCACAAATTATGAATACAGAGTTTACACTAACATTTTGCATAAAATGGTCCAAATACAAATGCTTTAAAACACCAAACATTAATAAAAGTTCACCGATTCAACCATTAACACAAACAAAAACAGAGGGAAAACCACGAGTGAATAAGGTAAAAAAATAACTACAAATAAACTAAACTAAAACATATAAAACAGTTGTGGGTAATGGTGTGTCCCTGTGACTTGTAACTGTGTACAGGAAGTATTCGATGACCTGCACGACAAACAAGTTTCATAATCCGTTCTTCCAGATAACAAATTTACAAAAGTTGAAATACTATATTGATGGCGTATATCTATTGCTCTGGGTTACTCTTCAACAATATGCCATTCAGACTGAATAACACCAGATGAACACAATCTCTCTTCAAGGGGCAGACGGCTCCTGCCTCGTCTGTTCCAGCGCCCCTCCTCTACAGCGAGGGAATGGCCACTCACTCTCATTCGTGTCCACGATACTCGTTCTAGCTCATTCACCTTTATCTTTGCTTTATAGATTGCATGAACATCAAAATTTGGATTGATAGTCTTGTATAATTGTACTCTACTTGAGTCTGAGTTTGACAGTTTCTGTTTCAGAGTGTGTAAGGCTGTTTGAACATCATCAATATCATTAAATAAAAGATCGCGTACATATCGTGACGTGGGAGTATTAAAACTTAATACAACATTAATAGTATGGGCAAGTGGATCGTCTACCATTTCACTTCTTCCCGTCCATATCATCGAGAAAAATTTACGCTGCTTAGCTATAATGAGGACACGTAACGGAGTATATCTAAGTTCCACCATGCATAAATCATTGCTGGTCGTTTTCCTGACACCTAATAACTGTTTAATATACCACATATACAGTTTAATCACAGGCGTAATGTCACCATTTAACGATGATTCACAACCATATAGCAAGGTGGACATCACTGCTGCATCAAATCTTGGCTTGCACATGAACTTTAATTGCTGTTGATATTGACCCGTCAGAAGTAAATTGGCTGCCCAAATACATGTACTGGTCACACGGTTATACCATCAACACTTGTTTATCAGCCTTTCTGCCATATATAGCGAAAAACTGTCTTACCTATGTTAATTTCCATACCATGAGAAATACAATATTTGTTAAGTAATTTTGTTTTATTTACCATGCCATATCTGGTCGTTGACAGCAGCACCGTGTCATCTTTAAGCACATCTAACCAGGCGAGGAAACCGTCTACACCGCAGTTCTGTTTAAGCATTCTAATTAAATCGTCAACAAAGATCACAAATAGGAGGCAGGAGGTAAGGGACCCTTGGCGCACATCTACAGTGGCGGTGACGAGTGCAGTGCCAACAATACAGTTAGTTACCCTGTACATGGCTATAATAGCAAATAACATAGTCATGCCACAACCTAACCGTTTTAAAGTTAAAAATAATACATTTCTCGGGAACCTATCATACGCCTGCGTAAAATCGACAAATATGACGAACAATTTAAATTTATTCCTCCTCGCTAGGTCTGTAAGCAAGGGCAACGTAACAATATGTTCTAGGCATCCCCTACCTGCCTGACTGCCAGCTTGTTCTCGGTAAGGAGAGAACCACTTACAAAGCCTATCGCACAATATCATGTCATAAAGCTTAGCAATAGAATTAATCACGCTAATGCCGTGATAATTTGTTACTAATGAGCGTAAACCTCGTTTAAAAACAGTAGATAACCTTGCTGTCATCCAGGATGACGGATACGTGGAAGACAAAAACACACTATTAAATAACACTGCGATTGACAAAATCCGTGAAGCGGGTGACAGCTTGGACAATCCTGGTGGCAACCCGTCGGGTCCTCAAGTTTTATTGCATTTCAACTTTTTTTACTTGATCAAACACCTCACGGGGAAATAATGGGTCATCTAACAACGGAATATAAACACTGCTATGCAGTTCATCATGGTGCAAGTGTTGCATCGACTGGGGAGAGGGAGCATTGCAATGGACTCCCGATAACCCAGTTTGTTGGGTTGCACCTAAGTAGCCTGTCCATGCATTGCCTTCGTCCGCCGGTATTGTCATTGTGTTCCCATGCTGGTCACCTCTTCTGCCTTAAACCGTCGTTAGGATCTTACTGGGGCTCTGTAAGCATGTCTTCCTGATGCGGGGCTCCACCGCATATTTTTCATTCGGGGTGTACTCCTGTAGCCTTGTACAGTCACCCAAAAAAGTCCTGTCGCGAACCATGAACCCCGAGATTCAGGCTCTTGAATCCGAAGCATTTATGGACAACAGAATGTATCAGTGTCTACTGCTTCGGGTGCACGAGTCTGAATCTCGGGGTCCGTGGTTCGCGACAGGACTTTTTTGGGTGACTGTACCTACCAAGGTTAATCCGCAAGACAGCGGGGCAGTGGTTGGTAGGCACCAGGGCGTGTCCATATGCTAGTGGGCCTATGCGCCATCCCTTTGGGCCCCACTGCTGCTCCGAGATCCCCTGCTGGTCTAGCCTGGGCCCAGTTACCTTGTGTTGCCACGAGGAGCACAGCAGGAGTCTTGATGGTGAATAGGCTGTGTACTGGCAGAGGTGGACTTATGCAAGTTGCTTCCCTGTTCGCCACGAGGGCTAGCTAGCGGCGGTAGCTGAAAGTGAGAGGAAGCAAGCAGTTTTTGCACCTTAATACTAACAATGCTGCCACACTAGACACACACACACACACACACACACACACACACACCTTAACCTTCAACCTTTGACACAAGTCGTATATTCACTTACTGTAGGCCATGTGTGGTGCGTCTTAAGGCTTTTTCGTGAAAACTGACACCCTCGTCTCAGACTCACCTCTAATATACCTGTATATCTGAACAAGAATTCAAACTTTTCAGGATGTTTTATTTCTTACTGAGAATTTGTACTCAAGAGTTTTATTTTTACTGTGAATTTATACTTAATATTGGTTGTACCTCTTAAGTTATTTTCTCTCTTCGTTTGTTGTGTTAAGTCTTCAGTTGGTGATGGGTTTGTGTTGGAAGTTTTTTCCATATTGTATTGGCTTAAGTGAACAGCTTTCAGTATCCAGATTTCTTACCTTGTTTTATAAGACTTTTGCCTTTACAATATTGTGTCTCCCCAACATCCTTAAAACAAGACATTATACCTTTAATTATGCTCCATTACCAATCAGACTTCAGGCTTTTCTGTTTCTCCAGCATCATTAAACACAGACATTAGTATTAATCATGTCTTATCACCAATCAGACTTATACATCTTTCAAACACGTTACCCTTAATTATGCCCCATCACTAATGAGACTTGCCCCTTATGTTCACCAACTAGTCTTGAGCCAGTTCTAACCATCCAATCAGACTTGAGCCATACTAACCAACCAATCAGACATCAGCCAGTACTAATCAACCAGTCAGACTTGAGCTAGTACTAACCAATCATGACTTGTGTTTCAGACTTCTCTTGCGCCCTGGTGTCCGACATCTTGCTTCAGGGAACTCTGTACATCACTCCTAACTTCTTCGCCTTTTACTCCAAGATCTTTGGGCACGTCAGCAGGGTAAGTTGCTCTCTCTCTCTCCCTCTCTCTTTGTTTTTCCTCTTTCTCTTTCAACTTATAGATAAGTACTTAAAGATAAATACAGTTATTAAAATACATAGAAGTACAGTAATAAAATACATAGATACAGATAAATACAGTAATTAAGCATACATAAATACATATAAATATATTAAGTAATTAGTATACTGTATATAGATAAACTATTAAGTAATTATTTCACATATTACAGACAATATGTTGGCATGTTTATAATGGTTCATCTGGCTTGTGTCTGAGTGAGCGTTACTCTTGTTTTTGTTTTGATCAATGGGAGACTGTGGCTGATGGTGTTCCCGGAGCACGATAATATTGTGTATTTTTCGCTAATTGTAAGTTTGACATTTCGAGCTTCTATGCTTTTTATTGTTATTTTGTAGCCATTATTTTTTGGATGTTTTTGTCGATTTTTTTTGTTTTTTGTGAGTGTCATAATACAAGTTTAAATTTAGCGAATGATGATAAGGTTGAAATGTTGAGTGGTGTAAAGCAGTAACTGGCAGCCTCATGGACCTTTATAAACTTGACATGATAACAACACGTTATGCTCCATTTATCTCGCCCATGATATTATACTTTTATATAAAGCTATATTTAATGCTTGGATTTAGAGAAACTTGCATGCTAAATAAAATATCACCGTATTTGAAATTCTGCAACACTTTAGTTGCAGCACTAGACAGCTTTACCTCAAATTGGCTGAAGCTTCAACTTAGCTAAGATGTTCGTTTTGTAGACAGGTGTGTTTTGGACCAAACTGCTGCCTAACAACTGGGGGTTACTGTGGCTCTGTACCGCTCTTCTTTAAGTTGTATCGCCGTTCATATAGGTTGTACCGCCCTCCATGCTGTCTGTACCGCCCTCCATGCAGTCTGTACCGCCCTCCATGCAGTCTGTACCGCCCTCCATGCAGTCTGTACCGCCTCTTATATTGACTGTACCATCCATCTTGTAGAATTGTAGGCTTTGACGTGTTAGTAAAGGAGTTGTAAACACCCGACCTTAATGTCTTCCAACTGGTGATAAGACCCAGAGCGTGTCTACAACAATTTGCAACCTATATTTAATGGTATCAGATCCTTATGTTACACAGAACACGTCACTTACAAAACAATGACTAATATAATAAGCAGGAAAACAATCATCTCTGATCTCACGCTATTCGATCAATCTTTTTTTTTTATTGAAGGATTCAGCTGAACGAAGACCCTACCATTTGAGTTTACAGTTACGACGTTGATAACACCGTAGGATATAATAACCTGTCTTAAATAACATAGAGAGAAATATTATAAAAGTTACAATTCCTGCGCGAAACACGTGTTCGGCACTCTGAGACGAAACCCAGTACTAGACTTAACGGAATTATTGACCATATGGTAAAACGTCGTTGGCCGGGTTCCATTATGACGGCATGCGAAACTGTGGAGCTATTCGGATATTTCGGAACAGCATGGCATTTTTTTACAATAAAAAAGATTGACATCTGTGGCATTAGCCCAAAGTGAAGTAGCAATACAAATATAGATTCGAAATTCGCTTGCAAAATAATATTATGCCTTTACTATATCCACTAATTCTGCCAAACATGTAATGCATTCCTATATGACAGTTTTTAAGTTTAAGAAATTTATTGGCAGAGCTTGTAGTACAGTTTGCCTATTCTGAGTAATTCAGTCAGGTCTTGACACTGAGGGTGGTATCACTTCTCACTGCCACGCAGGACAGAGGTTCATACACAAAGAAATACATCATATTCAATAACAGCTATAAATGTATAGAGGTCAGATTCATATGGGTAATGTCACTGTCCACTGCCATGCAGGACAGAGGTTCGTACACAAAGAGATGCATCATATTCATTGACAGTACATATACATATATGTACACACACACATACACATATACATACATATACACATATACATACACATATACCTATACATATATATACACATATGCACACATACACACACACACACACATACATACATATACGTCGGTCAGATTCATGTGGGTAATGTCACTCTTCACTGCCATACAGGACAGAGGTTCGTACACAAAGAAGGAAATACATCATATTCATTAGCAGTATATATAGGTTAGTGGATCACATACATTGGAGTCATATTCTAATTGAAGACTAATCAGTGTGGGCTAGCAAATTTGGGATAAACAGCAAGAATGTCCTCAAGCACACCTGATTCAATGAAGTAATTACATAGTTCAAGATACAATAAGTCGGGTGGCCTGAAGTCTTTGACAGTGTCACATTCAATAATATAGTGTTCAAGTGTATGCTTTAAAGGTTTATCACAAAGTTTACATGCTGTGTGTTCCGGTATGAGTACAGCGTTACTAACTTGCCAGATGTGTCCTATATGATAACTCATTCACTTCCATGGTTACTGTAGTCCACGGTGTGTGGAACATTTAATATAACATACAGTTAACTTGTCTATATACTGTATACTGACATTCTCCAGTCATATTGTAACAAAGTAATTCAATATTGTCAATGAAATAGCTAATTTCGGCCTACCAAATTAAATACGAAGTGTCTCGCATTCAGGCCTACCAACCCTCGTGAGACAACGGGAATGTTCAGTTGGAAAATCATCGGACCCCACCCTGTACGGTAGTTTTTTTTTTTTTTTTTTTGACAACCGAGTGTACCTTAGAAACCCAGGTTGGGAGGTGTCGTTCTTGGGGCGTCAGCTTCCAAGTCTCAACCTATAAGAAGGATCGTCACCGATGAGTTAACAATTCAATCTCGTCGCGGGAGAACAATATCGAAGAGTGATATTTGAAGGCTGCGTGATTTCCTGAAAGATTAAAATAATTCTCTCAATAAATGCTCTACGATGTGACACAATTCTTCATGGAAATTTATTTTACCAGAAACAGGCGAATACGGAGTATGTCTCCTGCTCATATGCAAACGCTGCATTACTTGTAAACAATATTAATCAATATTCATACAGTGGCATTTGGCGTCAACCAGACTGTAGTGAACACTTCCTTTTATGTCCCTGTAAGTTACAGTGAGTTCTAGTGGGTTACACTGAGCTACGGTATATTCATTTTTTATTGGTCTAAATCTCTTGTAAAATTCATATAATTAAAGTATAAATGCTTATATTCAATACTGTATTAAAATTTTGTTCATGAGTATATGAACACCATCCATAATATATAACACCATCATTTTGTTGACAAAGCCCTATAATTCTTAGCCTGATGGGTCTGTAGGGGTATCGAGATATTAATGTTGTCTAGCACTCAGGATGGAAGGAAACTCTAATGTGGTTTTCTTGTATATTATGAGGTATATGATAGACAGTCTGGTGCTGGAGGTGCAGAATGAGAGTTGGTTGGTGAGGAGGCTCAGAGGACAGCTGGTGGGTCGCCATGCTCGCTGGCGGGAGCGAGGACCGCCAGGCAGGCGAGGAGATGCTAGGGGCAGCCAGGCAGCGGCGGAGGAGGAGGTGTTGCTAGTTCAGGAAGAATGGTCTGAATGAATCTCAATGGAGAGACAGAGCTTATATACCCAGCAGCAGCCGCTATGAGTCATGTTGGGAAAACCCGAGAAGTCGCCGGTGAATAGTTTCGTTGCTAGACAACGGCACGTTGGAATGTGATAGCAGGTGGTGGCGTGGCTACGCACTTGTAGGGGAGACGTCCACTACAGGTCTCTTGCCTCACCTGGACCAAACTATCTCGCCGTCTCTTAACAACCCTGGACGAATTCGAGGAACGAGGGAGGGCCTGGTTACAAGCGTGATGTAGAGAGAGCTGGTTGGTGAGGGTGCTCAGAGGAGGACAGCTTGTGGGTCGCCATGCTCGCCGGCGGGAGCGAGGGCCGCCAGGCAGCGGCGGAGGAGGTGGTGTAGCTTGCTGCGGCTGTAGCTAGAAGAAGAGAGTTGGTTGGTGAGGATGCTCAGAGGAGGACAGCTTGTGGGTCGCCATGTTCGCCGGCGGGAGCGAGGACCGCCAGGCAGGCGGAGGAGGAGGAGGTGTTGCTGGCTGGTTGGTGGAGGTAGAAAGAGCGAGATCACCACGAGGTCAGGTCTTAAATGGCGGGGGTTGGCGTGGCTTAGTAGTTGACCTCCGTGATGTATGGCGGCGCTGGTTGTCCCAGACCACGAGGCATACACTGGGGAATTCGCGGGGTCGGCTACGCAGCGACAAACAGCGTTTGTAGGGGAGAAATCCACTACAATACTCCCTCCTTCCCTCCAGGCGGTGTAGGAGACTTGTTGTCTGCAGGGTTGCATGGCACATGTGAGGCAGAACGGGCGGTGCGTGCCTCATGTGGGACATAACGGCAGGGCGTGGATGAGCCGGCCGCTAGAAGAGACAACTGTCTAGATACACAATATCTGTGGGAGAAGAGAGGGAGAAAGAGGGTGTGTGGAGGCGATGAATGTTGTGCTTCCCTCAAGGCAGGTACAGAGTCGTCAGATGCGCCTGCTAGGGTGTGTGGGCCTGGGTCAGGAGTAGGGGCTGCGTCAGCAGAAGCGGATGAGGGCTCGTGACAGCAGCTGGGTCCACGACAGTAGCAGGGAGTACCTGAGGGAGAAAAGAGGGGTGTGTAGGTCCACACTCGGGTGCATGGGCCGCGTCGGGAGCAGGGGCTGCATCAGGAGAAGCGGCAGGGGGTACTGCTGGGCCGGGGTCGGCGTCTGAGGCAGGACGGGTGTGTTGGGGTCAGTAGGACGTGGTGCTTGGGGCAGGAATAGGAGCTGCTGTCTGCTCAGAGTAGCAGAGCTGCTCTAGGGTGTCTAACCTGCGGTGTACAGTAGAGACAGTAGATGTAGAGCCGATGAGAGCTGCCTCTGTGTGGATACGCCAGTCTTCTATGTTGCTTGAAGGCTGGGAGAGTGATCGGTTTCTCCTCCATCCTGTGTGAGTGCGAATCTCCGGGGGTCACCATTTGTGGAGGTATGGGTTTGTGTTCAGACTCAGCATGGGATGGAGAAAGGAAACTCACAATGTGCTCTCATGTATACATGTTGTATTGGATGTACAATGCAGCTTGGTGCTGGGACGGCAGCCTGGTTACAAGTGTGATGTAGAGAGAGCTGGTTGGTGAGGGTGCTCAGAGGAGGACAGCTTGTGGGTCGCCATGCTCGCCGGCGGGAGCGAGGGCCGCCAGGCAGCGGCGGAGGAGGTGGTGTAGCTTGCTGCGGCTGTAGCTAGAAGAAGAGAGTTGGTTGGTGAGGACGCTCAGAGGAGGACAGCTTGTGGGTCGCCATGCTCGCCGGCGGGAGCGAGGACCGCCAGGCAGGCGGAGGAGGAGGAGGTGTTGCTGGCTGGTTGGTGTAGGTAGAAAGAGCGAGATCACCACGAGGTGAGGTCTTAAATGGCGGGGGTTGGCGTGGCTTAGTAGTTAACCTCCGTGATGTATGGCGGCGCTGGTTGACCCAGACCACGAGGCATACACTGGGGAATTCGCGGGGTCGGCTACGCAGCGACAAACAGCGTTTGTTGGGGAGAAATCCACTACAAGCTCACCAATGCACAGGTTAATGACCCATATCAGGCCTTCGGGGCGAAAATATAATAATAATAATAATAATAATAATAATAATAATAATAATAATAATAATAATAATGAATTAATTAAAAATATTAAAAATTAATAAAAAAAAAATATATATATATATACAGTTTTACCCCGCTTAACGCGCTTTCACTTAACGCGTTTTCGCATATACGCGGTGCCTTGCCAAAGCTGAACTTTCACTTAACGCGGGTTTTTCCACAGCTACGCGGTGAGTGTCCGGCTCGGATGCTATTTTTAGATTTTGACCACGCGCCACGCGCCACCCACCCGCCCGCCTGCCTGCCTGCCTCTCCCTCCTCCTCCCTCCGCTTGGGTAAGCGGCGCGGTAAGGTTGCGCAGTGTGTGTCTTTGTTGCGTTATCACTGACGTCATATGACGTCTCGGACTGTGATTGGCCATGCAGCCCTACCCCCCTCTGCTGCTAGCTGTAATTGGCTTAAAGTATTATGACGTGACTACCCCGGGGAGGGAGGGAGGGAGGAGAGACGACGCTTGACCTAGCCGCGGCAGTTTCATCCCTCAAGGCCACGCCGGGTTAACGCGCATCCATTGTTCCGTAAAATGGCTTCCGCCGGACCACCACCCCCAGAGAGAAACCTTTCCTTACCTGGACCCAGCGGCACTAAACCAAAGAAGACACGACGTTCATTAAGCTACGAGCTGAAGTACCAAATTGTTCAAGATTTGGAGAAAGGAAGACGCCAAGTTGATATCGCGCGCCAGCATGGCGTCAACGAATCTACGATTCGTACAATAAAGAAGGATGCAGCCAAGATAAAGGAGCACATGAAGATCACAAAGTCTGCAGGTGCTTCATCTATCAGGTATTGCCAGAACAGGGTGCTGGCAAAAGTGGAAACTTTGCTGGTGAGTTATTTGGTGCGTCAGGCGCGACGCAACATGGCGGTGGACACGCGCTCAGTGCAGGAGTACGCACGTGAGCTATACGCAGCAGTGACACGTAAACTGGGAATTGCAGAGCCCAAACCCTTCAATGCTTCCCATGGTTGGCTGCATAGGTTTAAGAGGAGGAACAAGGTCACCAACATCAGCATTGTTGGTGAGGAAGCGAGTGCTGACCGTGCGGCGGCTAGAGATTTTCCTCCGTTTTTACGTGAGATTATGGAGGAAGGACAGTACAGTGACGACCAGGTGTTTAACATGGACGAATCTGGTCTTTTCTGGAAAAAGTTACCTTCCAAGACCTTCGTTGTCCAGTCTGCGAGCAAGGTAAGGGGCCGGAAGATGCAGAAGGAACGCATCACCGTCCTGTTTACCACCAATGCCTCCGGTACCTGTAAACCAAAGTTATCGGTGATTCACAAAGCCCGCAAGCCGCACGCCTACAAGAATATGGACATGAACAAGCTTAATGTCCACTGGCTAACCGCACGTAAGGCGTGGATGTCCTCTTCTCTGTCCCTCTTCTGGTTTGACAACTGTTTTGTTCCTGACGTGCAGAAATTCTGCGAGCAACAGAATGTTCCTTTCAATATTTTGTTGCTCCTTGACAACGCACCTGGACACTCGCCCCTACTTATGGATCGTCACCCCAACGTAAAAGTGGTCTTCCTTCCTCCCAACACTACGTCATTAATCCAGCCCATGGACCAGGAGTTAATCTGCAATGTTAAAGCTGCATACTCGGCAAAGAAATTCAAGCTCCTGAACGACTCTACCAACACCAAGGATGAGTTGCGTAAGCTGGGTGACACCGACAGCGAGAGTAAAAGCGACGAGGACAAGGAACAAGAGGCGGCGACTCAAGAACTTCTCGTCAAACAATTTTGGAAGAAGTTTAACGTCAAACAAGCTGTAGACTTCTTGGTGGAGGCATGGGATCTGCTGTCTATTGCTACGATTCGTCACGCATGGAGACATGTGTTGCATGGCATACCAGGTGAGAGGAGGAGTGAACCTGTGACTGGTCAGGTTCAGACTGTTGCAGTAGCAGTGGACCTTGCCAGAGAAGCTGCGCTCAGTGTTTCGAAGCCGGATTTGGTAAAACGTTACTCTGACCACCTAAGTGATACGGGTGGTCCCCATTAGAGGTTCACGGCGCCATAAACTCGTTGAACAGGCTTTGTGTGAAATATAACAAAGTCTAGGACTGCTTTTAGTATCCTGGTGGTCCAGCGGTTAGCGTTCCCCGGTCACAGTCATAGGCTTGTGGGCCGTGGGTTCGAATCCTGGCGGGTTGAGGTGTTGATTGTATGTAGAAGTCCGCGTGCTTTATTGGGCTAATGAAATATATATGGATCCTCGTGTTTCGAAGCCGGATTTGGTAAAACGTTACTCTGACCACCTAAGTGATACGGGTGGTCCCCATTAGAGGTTCACGGCGCCATAAGCTCGTTGAACAGGCTTTGTGTGAAATATAACAAAGTCTAGGACTGCTTTTAGTATCCTGGTGGTCCAGCGGTTAGCGTTCCCCGGTCACAGTCATAGGCTTGTGGGCCGTGGGTTCGAATCCTGGCGGGTTGAGGTGTTGATTGTATGTAGAAGTCCGCGTGCTTTATTGGGCTAATGAAATATATATGGATCCTCGTGTTTCGAAGCCGGATTTGGTAAAACGTTACTCTGACCACCTAAGTGATACGGGTGGTCCCCATTAGAGGTTCACGGCGCCATAAGCTCGTTGAACAGGCTTTGTGTGAAATATAACAAAGTCTAGGACTGCTTTTAGTATCCTGGTGGTCCAGCGGTTAGCGTTCCCCGGTCACAGTCATAGGCTTGTGGGCCGTGGGTTCGAATCCTGGCGGGTTGAGGTGTTGATTGTATGTAGAAGTCCGCGTGCTTTATTGGGCTAATTAAATATATATATATATATATATATATATATATATATATATATATATATATATATAAAATATAATATAATAATTAATTATAATGATGTAAATAAAGGACCATAAATAAATACAAAATTTAAAAAAAAAATCAAGAGTGAGAAATGATATATGTATGTTGTGTTGTCAAAGTAAGAGACTCCGCAAGGTAGCTAGCCCACCTGCTGTCAACCTCCTCCTATATTTCCCACTTTTGAACTTTACCTTGTACTGTACCCCTCTTGCACCCTCAGACCTAATGCTCTCTTCTCTCCATTTCACCAACCAACCAAAGTAAGAAAAACAATTGAAACCCTGCAGTTATGTGTAAATGAGGCAGAAAGTCAGATCATCAACCTGGGACTTAGTCATAATTTTTGTGATGCCTTATGGCAGCAGGGTCTATACCATTAGACAACACATTATGCTTCCAATATCTTCCCAGGCGGTAGTACCTCCCTGTTTGGTAGCTGCCTACTACCTGTCTTCACATCTACTCTCTGACAAACGTTGTATGACGGACTGTCTCCCCTGTATGAGAAAATGGCATCTTCCTCGTATCAAAAACTAGCTGTTTTTGTGTTTTGTTTTGTCTCCGAATGAAGTTGCAAAAAAAATATATGGTTTTTTGACAGCTAACGATTATTTTCTCTTGACATCTGACGATATTTTTTTTGGGCATCTGACAATTGTTTTTACACAGTTGACAAATGGTATTGCTTTTATAGCTGATGAATGTTATTATTTTGACAGCTGACGATTATTATTATTTTGACAGCTGACGATTATTGTTTTCGACAACTGGCGAATGTTATTGTTTTTACAGCTGACGAATGTCATTATTTTGACAGCTGACAATTGATATTTTTGACAGCTGACGAATGTTATCATTTTGACAACTGTGTATAGTTAAAAAAAAATTACCCACTGACGATTGTTGTTGTGGCAGCTGTATGCAATTGCGGTTATTGTTGTTTGAATTGCTGTACACAGATAATTGTTTTTAGTAACTGTATAACTGACAATGGTTGATGTTGTGACTTGCATCCTAGCGTTTGTTTTGACAGTTGCACAGTAACGATTGTTTTAGCAGAGCCTGCATATTACTACTAATGTTTCTTATTTACTGTGTACTGGTTATTGTCGTTCCAATGGCAGCTGAATATGACCAATGTACTGTATGTTGTTTTGTTATTGCACAGACTTAGGTTATTGTTGTGTTGCACTGACGCATGGTGTTTTTGTTGCAGTTGTTGATCCCGGTGACACAGGTGGCGGGCATCCAGAAGGAGAGGACGGCTAAGATCATCCCTAATGCCGTAGGGCTGCAGATGTTAGATGGCAAGAGCTACGTGTTTGGCTCCCTCCTCTCCAGGGACTCTACCTACAAATTGATGCTTCACATATGGAAGAAGGCACAGAGGTTGGCTGACAGTGACAGCGAGCCTCCATCTGCTGTACAGGTGGTAAGTGTTCCACTGCACAGGTGGTGTCGAACTCTACAGGTGGTAAGTGTTCAGTTGTGCAGGTCGTAAATGTTTAATTGCATAGGTGGAAACAAAACCATATATATATATATATATATATATATATATATATATATATATATATATATATATATATATATATATATATATATATATATATATATATATATATATATATATATATATACAGTGAGTTCTGCTATAACGTGTGTTTTGACAACTCGAATTGGCTCTAATGCGATTTATGAATAGAAGAATGATATTTGTAAAACGCGAACGCTTGTTTGCTGTAACGCAAATTTTGCTTACTATTTCTCCAATTTTGTGGTATTAACTGTGAATATGGTAAAGAAGAATATCTCCAAGAAGCGTTCTGGTGATCGCATTCCCGGTGATGATCGTAAAAGAAAGGCTATAACCCTTGAAGAGAAGCTCGAGGTTATCAACCTCAAAATCACTCTTATCCCCCATCAAGTTATATTCATATTTTTTCAAGGTAAAGTGTTACATTTACTGTATGATTTCATTATTAGATATGAATGTAACATTTATTTAGACTGTGCTATCCTTTGTGTTAGGCTAACTACTAATTTTTTTTCGATTTCAAGTAATCTGCACCAACCCTATTTTCTCCATAAGCATATATATATATATATATATATATATATATATATATATATATATATACTTAAAGTATGGTAAAAATAAAAAAAAACATTTAACACTTACAGATAAAATACTCCAGTCTAGATCCAAATTTATTTAAAAATAAAATCCATTCTTCTCGTTTTCTTTTGAGTGAAAAGGTCTACAACTTTCTCATTGATGTTTAGATGACTGTTAAAGAAATTTTTCTCCGTTGAAATCATTGCAAGTGCATTTAGCCGTAACTGATTCATAGTGCTCCTCAAAAGTTTTTATTCTTTTTAATGTTGAAAAGCAGTGTTCAGGCTTAGATGTAGTCATAGGAATTGTCAAGAGGATTTTTATCAGTTTCGTAATCTCACTAAGAACACCATCTAAATTATTTTCCAAGATAAATTTCAGCTTATTATCATCTGTTGATTGCTGGAGTTACTAGTGATGTCTTTTTGTGAACAATACTTCATACTGTAACTAACAAATGGATGGGTACATGTTGGTCCAGTGTTGGTTATTCTGAAGAAAAAATACTCCTACAGGCAGGAGAGGAAGACGATGGAGAAGACTCTGTGTCGGGGAGTGCGGAAAGCCTAATGGAGGAGGACCAGACAGACAGTGGGTACCTCGCTTCAAGTCCAATCTCTGCTGTGACCGCCGTGGCAACTGGTGCTACGGTGCCCTGGACACGAGACACCTCCTCCACCACCACCATCACCACCACCACCACAGCTATACTCCCCGGCCCAGACATCTGCACCTCCTCCTCCACCAGCATTCCATTAAGTAATCTAACCAGTTCACAAAATCCAGTGACGTTAAGACAAGGAGGATTGTCAGTGGTGAAAGGTGTAGGTGCGAGTATACCCGAGGAGCCTGGGGGTGCTGCCGGCGTTGGTGACGGCTTGATACAGTGGTTCATACAGGGATCCTTAGTTAAAAGTAAGTTAAAACTAACTTTCCCTTATGTGTGTGTAATTTTTAAGTGGTTATTACTTTGCAGATGCAAGAGTGCAGCAGTCAAGTGGATACAGCACCCACTTCTATTTCCAGGTATCGGTAGTTCGATCCCTGAGTACTCCCAGTTCACCCAGCTGTAAATGGGTACCTAACTTTACAAGTTTGGGAAGTGAAGACAGTCGAGAGCAGTACCAGCCATGTTGCCTCCTTGTGAACTGATAGCTTAGTATATAGTGTGCTGTATCCACACTGTCTCTAACGAGCAGTCATGCCTATGAGGCCGACTTTCACCTTTCACCTTATAGATATAATGTACTGTGTAACTATTATGTGTATGTGTGTTCCCATATGAATAATTCTGCCCTTAGAATTGATATGTGCAGTATTGTACTTTGGGCACTGTATATAGTTCTTCTCAGTAGATCTGTGTGTCTTAACTTATTGTAAATAGTTAGACCTATCCCTTAGTGAGAGCTATTCACTTTATTTTAAAGCAGGTATTTCCTTCTCACAAACAGCCACCCACACACATCTTTTCCACGATCATTCCTCTTTACCAAATGTTTTCTATGCCAGAGATATAACCTGCAAGATTTCCTCCTCCCCACAGATATTCTCCCAGATGTCCTTCTTTCACAGACATCCCCCTCAGATATCCACCTATAGACGTCACCTCAGATGTCCACCCACAAACATTCACTTCCCCTCAGATGTTCACCTCATTGTGCCTCCCACAAACATTCACTTCCCTGTAAATGTTCACCTCATTGTGCCACCCACAAACATTCACTTCCCCTCAAATGTTCACAATATACTGCCAGATTATGGGGTCACTAAGTCTAAGGGGATAACTTAACTATAGTCTTAATTTTAAAGGTTGCTGTCACTAGACCCCCTCTGGGCAGTATGTAGCAGGTTGGTAGTGGGCAGAGGTGACTAGGCACTGAGTAAGGTTTTTCATTGACCAGATCAATAAGGGAACAGAAGGGTGAAACCATCACATGTCTTAACTAATTTATTCCTTATAAAACATACTGTAACAAAAAATACAAGTGAGTTGGCCTTCCTCAGAAGAACAACGAAGATGTTGGTTACCCTTCTTGCAATATCACTCAATACGTCAGACTGCTCCACCTGTATGGAATATAGCACCTTAGGTCATCATACATAGTAACACCATCTCACCTCCCTGTAGCACTATCTCAACACACCTGTTATACTCCACACCTGCAAGTAAGGGACTCCTTGTAATTTCTAGGCATACATATCAGGCACCTCGTTCGCACACAGCCCTCGGTGGGTAGAGACAAGGGCTACGCCAAGGGACATAGCAGTACTGTTTCTACGCCTGGTATTATGCCGCTCCAAGTGACAACCTCGGAGTTTCTCAAGTGTTTCCTTATTTATTCCTACTCATTTGGGGTGGTATGCTGGGAATCCACAGGTTCACAGTGGATTAGCATAGCTGGGAGTAGTCACCTCACATGGTGGGACGCTCACAGGGATAATGGCCGCTGCCCAGCAAGGCACTCCGACCGCGTGGGACCTGAGGTGATGGGAGAACGAAGGATACTCAGGAATAATGCCTGATGGGCCATTATCACCCACCCCAACACATCCCTATTTCACTTTATGCATCAAGCAAAGTTTTAAACTGTAATAACTGCTATATAAGCCTAATTTAGGGCGGGATGTAGCCCGATGGAGGACACTGACCTGAGGTGATGGGAGAACGAAGGATACTGAGGGCAGTGCCCTGCCGCTCCTCACCTCGTAGGCCTACAGTTTCCAATCTTTAATTTTTACTTTGATTTCTTATGGTTCTCACATCTCCATTTTCCCATTTATTGTGACCTGGTGTCTTATAAATCCATATTTTAATCCTAAATTACATACTGGAATACGGTTCGGGCTTGACAGTTCGTGGGGAAATTAAGTGGGCTATATCAACAGCTCACACCTGTAGGCCGGGTACAAGGGACACGGCCTTGAAACAAAAGCCGAATGTTCATAGCGTGGGTATCCACTTCACTTAAAACTGTAAGTAGGGATCCTACTCTCACACATTGCACTACTTGAACACAGACATAAGATTCTCTGATCACTGTACATGTCGTCGGTATACGTCACCAGAGGAGACGAGGTGTATTAAGTTCACACCGATGCATACAAGATATTTCCTTTCAAGTATAGTTTCCGGGTCACTCCCAACACCTCACATAGTTCTGATGCATTTATCCTTTTTCCAGATCATTGTTCTCATGTATTTTCATATGATATTTGTGGAACTTTTATGTTCGCTACACGTTCACAGACATAAATAATATGACCTTCAAACCACGTTCCACACTTAGTCCTACAGTACACAAGTCCGGCTCAACTGGACTTCCCCAATCATCTTATGGATACCTTGAGTTCTCCTTAATGCTATGAATACATACAATTAATATTATATAACCGTACCTGGGTACAATACAACACATGATTCAGTAACATTGAGTAGGTGAGTTATCCTTTGTCAATGTTTCCCGTTCTCTGAGATTCTACAAGTGCAGTGGATTGGAATGTTATGTAGCATAATATGAATTAAAGGGTTTTTGGGGGGAATGACAATGATGTGCGCAGTACAACATCATTGTGCCACCTACACACCATGTTCTCTCTCTGACAGCCTGCTTCAGGATGGGGAGAGCACCAGTGAAGTTGGTGGGGGAGGGAATCAAGGAACTGTGGTCACTACCCAGAACTTCTCTGCTCCTACTCATTTCTACACTCCTCCTCCTTATGCTCTTCGCCTCAGCTGCATTCATGCTGCACCGAGTCGATGTCCTTAGCCAACAGCTTGGACTGGAGAAGTATGAGGAGTAGTAAGTATTATGAGAGACGGACCATTTAGGTGTGTGAACGTCCTTAATAAAAGACCTACTAACTTAGTTGCCTGATTCACCTTCTTCGCACAATGGTCCAAGAACTTGAGTTCATTGTCAACATACAAACCCAGGTCCTTTTCACATTTGGTGTGTGTTAATGGTGCTATGTATTTAAAGTCCAACTACATTTATCCCTGAATCATTATGGAGTAATGTTGTAGGACTCCAGATAAAATATGGGCCATCATAAAGATACAGTACTTTTCTGAGAATACTCAAGGAATTGTACTTTGTTGAAGTAGTACATCCCTCTTCACTGAGTTATTTAACAGACTATAAGGCTTAGAATGGTGCAGTATATTAAATTTTCAGGATCACTTCATTCTTTGTGATTTTTATGTAATACAAAGTGTAATTTTACACAATGTAATCTTCCATGTGTATCACATTAAACTATTAATAAAGGAATTGTTTGTGATGTGATGTTTCCATGCTGGCTGTTGCATAATGTTACCAGATGTGATATGAATGTATGTCATGCCAACATGCGAAATGCAGAAGAATAAGTGATGGTGTCATGTTAGAGTCATTACACTTTGCTGTCATGTCCCAATGTTTCAGTGACGGCATGTATGAGGAAGTGCTCCAGATGCAGCAAAGACTCCATGCTGCAGCTTCCACTGAGATTGAGAAGACCCTCAGTATCCAGCTCAAACATATTGCCACAGTCAGTCCTTCACTTCCTTCTATGTCTGTTGCTTAGTATTGCCACTGTGTCTTTCTGTTCTTCTCTGCTATAGTGAATCCCTCTGTTCCTCTGTTGTGCTATAGTTAATCCCTATGTTCCTCTCCTGTACTATAATGAATTGCCCTGTTCCTCTGCTGTGCTACAGTAAATCCCTGTTCCTCTGTTGTGCTATAGTGAATCCCTCTGTTCCTCTCCTGTGCTGTAATGAATCCCTGTTCATCTGCTGTGCTACAGTGAATCCCCCTGCTGCTTCCTATGCTATAGAGAATTCCTCTGTTCCTCTGTTGTGCCATAGTGAGACTGTTCCTCTCCTGTGCTATTATGAGACTCTGCTCCCATCCTGTGCAATAGTGAGACTGTTCCTCTGATGTGCTATAATGAGACTGTTCCTCTGCTATAGTGGTACTGCTCCTATCCTGTGCTATAGTGAGACTGTTCCTCTGCTGTGTTACAGCGAGACTCTGCTCCCATCCTGTGCTATAGTGAGACGGTTCCTCTGCTGTGCTATAGTGAGACTGTTCCTCTGCTGTGCTATAGTGAGATTTTTCCTCTGCTGTGCTATAGTGAGACTGTTCCTCTGCTGTGCTATTGTGAGACTGTTCCTCTGCTGTGTTATAGTGAGACTGTTCCTCTACCGTGTTATAGTGAGACTGTTCCTCTGCCGTGTTATAGTGAGACTGTTCCTCTTCTGTGTTATAGTGAGACTGTTCCTCTGCTGTGCTATAGTGAGACTGTTCCTCTGCTGTGCTATAGGAGACTGTTCCTCTGCTGTGTTACAGCGAGACTCTGCTCCCCATCCTGTGCTATAGTGAGCGGTTCCTCTGCTGTGCTATAGTGAACTGTTCCTCTGCTGTGCTGCCGTGGAGACTGTTCCTCTGCTGTGTTATAGTGAGACTTTTTCTCTGCTGTGCTATAGTGCTATAGTGAGACTGTTTCTCTGCTGTGCTATTGTGAGACTGTTCCTCTGCTGTGTTATAGTGAGACTGTTCCTCTACCGTGTTATAGTGAGACTGTTCCTCTGCCGTGTTATAGTGAGACTGTTCCTCTTCTGTGTTATAGTGAGACTGTTCCTCTGCTGTGCTATAGTGAGACTGTTCTTCTGCTGTGTTATAGTGAGACTGTTCCTCTGCTGTGTTATAGTGAGACTGTTCCTCTGCTGTGTTATAGTGAGACTGTTCCTCTGCTGTGTTATAGTGAGACTGTTCCTCTGCTGTGCTATTGTGAGACTGTTCCTCTGCTTCTGTTATAGTGAGACTGTTCCTCTGCTGTGCTATAGTGAGACTGTTCCTCTGCTGTGCTATTGTGAGACTGTTCCTCTGCTTCTGTTATAGTGAGACTGTTCCTCTGCTGTGCTATAGTGAGACTGTTCCTCTGCTGTGTTATAGTGAGACTGTTCCTCTGCTGTGTTATAGTGAGACTGTTCCTCTGCCGTGCTATAGTGAAACTGTTCCACAATTGTGTAAATTAAAAAAAAATAGAAGAATGTAATATAAGTACACTATGTGGACAGATTTTTTTTGTGTGTGTGTGCGCGAGACACCATTATGCCAGCTTGAAAAATATACAAAATTTCATTTATGATGTCTTGTACATTTAGTTTTGAATGTCTCATTTATGATGTATGCTACAAAAGGTAGTGCCTTAGTGCATGTTACTGTATTAGGTGACACAACAGTACAGTACAGGTATATGATTTTGGTGGTAACATAAAAGTTATCTCTTCATATTTCTTTGAAACTGTCATTGTTAAATTATGTTCATGTACTTTTATAGATGTAAACTGAAGAGATTCTCATAATTTGCTGTACAAATGTCAAGATACAAATATTCTTGCTTAATTGTTAAAGAAAAAGGAAATAAGGCACTACTACTACACCTTGGTTATCTCACCAAGGAAAACAAGTACAGGTTAAATTGCTCGCTTTTCTATAAAGCTGTGATAGTGCTGAGTGGCACATGTCATGTTACAAAAGTTTTCCTGTTTTTTCTGAAACTTATTTTCAATCAAACCAACAGGTGCGACAGTCTTTAGAAGCCCTGGTGGTGCTGTTCAACAAGGAGCCTCCAATGAACACTGCAAGGATACCTGACAACACATAACAGGAGCTATAATAGGCCTGTGATTCTCCATCATGTTGACTTCTGACAGCTGGTATCCAGTCAGTCAAGAGTTTCAGATGAGGCCAACCAGTCCTTCACATGTCAAGAGAAAAATAAGTAACGTGATCGAGTGATCGTCTAGATTTGGAAGTTTTTCAACAGGTCTCCACAGATAAACCTTACTAAGTCCATTCCTCCCTTAGAGGGGTTAATTAGTGTCAGTAGAATTTGTGGAAGAGAAAGAGATAATCTCAGTATAAGTAGGACATAAAAGATATTCACCTTTTATGAAAAAACGTATTTGTTCATAATCAATCATACGTACTGTAGTATACTATAATGTACACGAGACATTAAGGATTAAGGGTTTTGTAATTTAAATTATTTACTTTATTCATCAAATTCACTTAAAAGTATTCTACACATCTGTAATATATATATATATATATATATATATATATATATATATATATA